ACGAGCTGAAGAAACATACTCCGTATAGGGCGGGCAGGTCGTCTCAGGACGGCCCTGCCTCCCGAGCTAGCGGGGAAACCCGCATGCAGGTGCGCTCTAGTAGCGAGGAAACTCGCCGGTAGCGAGGCTACTCGCGCGCCCTTGCCTTGTAGGCGGCCGCTGCTGCTTAGCACTGTTTTTCCGCGTAATGTAGAAGTGCGGTGCCTGCTCGTCTCCTCCCCCTCCGACTTTAAACGGAGAAGGTTAAAGGCGAGGTATAAATCGAGCATGTACCGCTGCCGTGCCTGGCTCAAGCCGGGCCCGGCCAAATATATGACTGTGCCTCACCGAGGCGCACGACTGGTATTTGAGATCGGAAAATACCTTTTCCATTGAAGATGCCCCTTCTATCCTTTACTCCAGATCCCATGCTTCGTCTCGCTCTCTTGCTCATGCGATATGAGCCAAAGCCTGGGATATGGCAACGCTTGAAGCGTAACACATACCTAAGCTTACCAGCGTGTTTTCGACTAGGACTACCAAAGTCGGCGTTCCCCGACCCGCACAATCTCCCGCGCGACGCAAAGAAGGGCACCCTAAAGTGCAAGACGTGCAAATGATGCCCAATCGGTTGCGCGTACTAGGCAGAAAAGGGAGGACGGGAAGAGGAGGATGGGGGGTGAGGCGGAAAATGGGGGGGAGAAGCATCGGTGAGGATGAGCTGAAGCGGGGCAGGAAGAGGAGGAGGGGAACGAGGAGGAAGTGTAGGAGGAGGAGGAGGAGGAAGAGGAGGAGGAGGGGGACACTGAGATGAGGCTCCGGGTTATGGGGTTGGGCGCGACTCGAAAGACCGGTGTGTTCGGAAATGTCCGTTGGGATCTTGCGGGGGGGCTTCTTGCGGGCCTCTTGGAGCAGTTTCGAAGGCTCTTGGGGGGCCGTTTTGGGGCCTCTTTGTGGCTTCTTGGGCGCCTCTTGGAACGTCTTGGGGGCCTCTTGGGGGGTTATTGGGGCCTCTTTGGGGCCTCTTGGGGCCTCCTGAGGGCCTCTTGGGGCGTAAGGCTGGGTTTTCTGGTGCGTGGTCTCTCTCTGGAACCCCTCTTGGGCCCGTCTCCGGGAGGTTCTTGGGCCGTTTTGGGCGGCTCTTGGGCCGTCTGGGGGCTCTCTTGGGCCGCCTTGGGCGGCTCTTGGACCGTCTGGGGGCTCTCTTGGGCCGTCTTGGGGGCGTCGTGGAGGCCTCTTGTGCTGTCTTGGAGCAGTCTTGGGAGCTTCTTGGGCTGTCTTGGAGCGTCGGAAGGCCGAAAAGGCGAAAATTACGAAAACATCGGAAAAAACAAATGAAAATCAACGATTTTGGCCTTTTGGGGCGCTCCTCGGGGGCCTCTTGGAGGTCTGTTGGGGCGTCTTGGAGGTCTCTTCGGGCGTCTTGGAGCCCTCGTGGGGCGTCTTGGAAGCCTCTTGGGGCCTCTTGGGCGCTTCTTAGGGCGTCTGGGCGGTCTCTTGGGGCGTCTGGAGGCCTCTTGGAACGTCTGGGGGGCCTCTTGGGGCCTTCTTGGCCCGTATTTGGGCCCTTTTGGGCCCGGAAGAGCGTCGTGAGTCGCTCGTAGTCGGCACCCCCCCCCCCTCCAAATCGACCGGACCGGGTTCCCGGGGGAGGGGTTTGGGGAGGGGGAATTATCTCACACGCCGATGATCCCCAAGGGGTCGGCGGATATTTTCTACAAAATTTCGAATTTTCTTGAAGCTCTTTTGGGCCCTCCCTGTAGATCCTTGCGAGCCTCCCCGGCGCTTTCGGTGGCTTTCCCCGATGGTCAGATGGGCTTCGACTTCGACGCACATCCCCGAGAGACTTCGACACTGTCCTCAATAGGAGGGGGGTGAACGAGCAGTGCGCTGGGCCAAGCTGCTGGAGCGCTGCAAGAGCTCGGACACGAAGGCGCGGTCTCGCTGCCGCCGCCCGAGCCGCCGCCGTGTTTGTACATTTTCGGTACAATCTGCGCCGTTCCTCCGATAACCATTCCAGAAAGATGTCGTGGACGGAGTCCACGGGTCAGCCCTAGCCTCTACTACATTGCAGGAGCACGTGCGTGCCAGAAGGGCGCAGGCTCAAATAACTCAAAACCGCCCTGGGCTGGCCCCGGGCCGCCCCGGGCCGCCCAGGCAAGCCCCAGGACATGTCGAGAGGGCCCCCAGAAGCCCCCAAGACGGCCCCGGAGAGCCCCGGCACGCTTAATGATGGGCCCAAGACGCCCGAGATTCGCCCCAGGCGGCCCAAGAGGCGTCCAAGACGCCCGAAGAGGCCTCCCAAGAGGCCTCCCAAGAGGGCCCCGAGCGACAGAAATCGTTGATTTCTACTGTGTTTTTCTATGTTTTCGGCCTCCTCGCCTCGTCGGCTTCCCGACGCTCCAAGACGGCCCAAGAAGCCCCCCCGACCGCTCCAAGACGGCCGAAGAGGACCCCAAGAGAGCCCCAAGACGGGCCAGGAGGGCCCCCAGACGGTCCCAAGACGCCCCAGGACGGCCCCAGGACGGCCCAGGAGGCGCCCAAGACGGCCCAAGAGGCACCCAAGACGACCCCAGGAGCGGCCCAAGACGGCCCACGACAGCCCAAGAGGCGCCGAGGCGGGTCTCAGACGGCCCCAAGACGGCCCAAGAGGCACCCAAGACGGCCCGAGAGGGCCCTAAGAGCCCCCCCGGGAGGCCCAAACGAAGGCCGAAGAGGCTCCGAAACGGCCCCCACGAAGCCTTCAGTGCCTTCAGAATTCCCTCCAGGAGCGGGGGAGCGGACGAGAGGCGACAGGCATATTGCAGGCAAAAACGCCCCAAGAGATCCCCAAACGGCCCCCACGAAGCCCTAAGTGGCCTCAGAATTGCTTCCAGGAGGGGGGGAGCGGACGAGAGGCGACCGGCATATCGAAGGCACAAAAGAACAATGTTGGACGCTCCGAGGGCCTTCGATGTTTCTCCGTTGGGGAGAGTCGTCGTAGGATCGACGATTGCCGACCGAGGCCAGCGAATCCAGTGGAGGCCCAAGAGGCCCCCAGGAGCCCAAAAGAGATCCCCAAGAGGTGCCATTGGGCTTAAAAACTGCTTCGAAGCGAGGGGGGCGGACGAGGGGACTGCCTCAGGAGGTTTTGGACGGTTTTGGGCTTCAAAATCGTCCGCTTTACGACGGTTTTGGAAGGATTTTGGCCTTCTCGCCTTTTCCGCTTTCCGACGCTCGAAGACGGCCCAAGAGGCCTCCAAGAGCGCCCCAGAACGGCCCAAGAGGTTTCCAAGAGCGCCCCAAGACAGCCCAAGAGGGCCCCAAGACGACCCAAGAGACGCTCAAGACGGCCCACGAGGGCCCGAAGACAGGCCCAAGAGGGGGCCAAGAGGGGGACCACGGACCGAAAATCCGAGCCTTCCGCCCCAAGAGGGCGCCAGGAGGCCCAAACAGGCCCCCAAGAGGCCCCAAGGGGCCGCCAAGAATCCCCCGAAGAGGCCCCAGGAGGCTCCCAAGGAGCCCAAACGAGGCCCCTACAGAGGCCCCAACAGCTTCCAAAATGGCCCCGAAGAGGCCTCGAGCCCGCCTCCGAGCTTCCTCGCCGCGAGGGTGCCAACACGGCCCCAGACCGGCCCAGGACGGCCCAAGGCGCGCTCAAGACGGCCCAAGACGATTCCAAGACGGTCCCAGGAGGGTGCGCCCAGGACGGCCCAAGGACGCGCCCGTTCGGGGCCTCAAGACGGGCCAAGATGGCAAGAGAGTCCCAGCTGGCAAAAATCGTTAATTTTCCATTGTTTACTGTTACACCCTTTGCGTTTCCCGCCGTTTCGGCGGTCCGATGCACCAAGAGGCCCCAGAAAGTCCCAGGAGGGTCCGAGGAACCGCCCAGGAAGGCCCCAAGACGGGCCAAGACGGACCCAGCACAACCCAAGGCGCGCTGCGACGGCTCAAGACGGCTCCAAGACAGCCCCAAGAGGGTGCCAACACGGCCCCTGCTGGGCCCAGGACGGCCCAAGGAGGCGCACAGGAGGGGCCCAAGACGACTCCAAGGCGGCCTCCTCACGGTCCCAGACGGCTCCAAGACAGCCCCACGAGGACCCCGATGGGCCCAGGACGGCCTACGGACACGCCCATGAGGGGCCCACGACGAACCAAGACGGCCCCATCAGGGCAAACGGCGCCCTCAAGACGGGCCTAGACGGCTCCAAGACGGCCCTTTGAGGGAGCCAACGCGGCGCGGGACGCCAACCCTGGGGCCCGTGGGCCCCGCGCCGCTTGGGCAGAAGACGAACGCCAGGTCTGACAGGCCAGCTACCGCCCCCCTTTGCCCGATATGCTGTGCCATTCTGTTCCCCCAGGGGCCTTGGCAAACTCTTCGGGCCAAGCAGACCGGACCCCTGGGACAGCAGCCAATTGATATGACCCTGGGACCTCTCCGCATTCTTCGGACGAGCATCTGGGGGGCCCAGGAGATTCGGACATGTCTTCCCCATTCCTTGCCCTGTCCCGTTCTGTTCGCCCGAAGGCCTCCACAGACCCTCTGGGCGAACAGAATGGGACATGGCGAACAAACCCTCCCGTTGGCGGTGATGCGACTGGATCGCACCATCAAGGCGCGCCCGGAGGTGATGGCCGACCCAACAGCGGTTTCTCTTAAGAGTTCACTGGATTTCAAATTTTCTTGAAGCTCTCTTGGGCCCTCCCTGTAGATCCTTGCGAGCCTCCCCGGCGCTTTCGGTGGCTTTCCCCGATGGCCTCCCGAGCCCTTCCCCGAGCGCTCCTGAGACGCCTCAGATGGGCTTCGACTTCGACGCACATCCCCGAGAGACTTCGAAACTGTCCTCAATAGGAGGGGGGTGAACGAGCAGTGCGCTGGGCCAAGCTGCTGCAGCGCTGCAAGAGCTCGGACACGAAGGCGCGGTCTCGCTGCCGCCGCCCGAGCCGCCGCCGTGTTTGTAGATTTTCGGTACAATCTGCGCCGTTCCTCCGAGAACCATTCCAGAAAGATGTCGTGGACGGAGTCCACGGGTCAGCCCTAGTCAGCTACAACGCTGGGACCAGCGCGTGCGAGAAGGGCGAGCAGTGGCAGCGGGCTTTGGCGCTGCTCCGCGAGATGCGCGAGGAGAAGCTGGAGCCCGACGCCATCACCCCCGTGGGGTCGAGGAGGAGGAGGAGGGCGAGGAGTGCGAGGGCGAGGGCGAGGGGGACGACGATGATGATGATGATGATGATGATGATGATGATGATGATGATGATGATGATGATGATGATGATGATGATGATGATGATGCTGGCGATGCTAATGATGCTGCTGATACTGATGATGCTGCTGATGATGCTGTTGTGGCTAATGATGCTGATGATGCTGTTGATGATGATGCTGATGCTCCTGCTGCTGCTGATGATGATGAAATGACGACGATGATGATGATGATGATGATGATGATGATGATGATGATGATGATGATGATGATGATGATGATGATGATGATGATGATGATGATGATGATGTCGAGCATGATGATGATGCTGATGTTGCTGCTGCTGATGAGGATTATACTGTTGCTGTTGCTGTTGCTGATGCTGCTGCTGCTGCTGCTGCTGATGATGATGATGATGATGATGATGATGATCTGATGATGATGATGATGATGATGATGATGATGATGATGATGATGATGATGATGATGATGATGATGATGATGCTGGTGCTGATGCTGATGCTGCTGATGATGATGATGATGATGATGATGATGATGGTGGTGGTGATGATGATGATGATGATGATGATGATGATGATGCTGCTGGTACTGATGATGATGATGCTGGTACTGATGATGATGAGGAGGAGGCTGAGGAGGAGGACCAATGGTATCGTCGCGGATTGTTCTTTTGCGACCAGCCTCATAAGGGGGTTCGCCATGGATGCTTTCGATCCCATCCCTAGCCCTGTTAATTGTGATTTCGACGTCTACATAGAGGACCTCAGCCTCAGTTGCACGGGACGGCCCCGAGTGGTTGCTGTCACCCTGATCTCTGGAACTAGGGCTCTGGAGAATGCGGTGTGCAATGTTCTCATGTGCCAGCTCGCCATGGACAGGATAGGCATGGCCTCCAGTTCGAAGGCTGTGGCTGACCACTTGGTCTCGGAGCTGGGGCCCCTAGTAGGCGGTCGAGCTTGCGCTCGAGTCACCAACTTAGGTGTGGACTTCACTGCTGGGCGCGCCCTTCGTGCCCCAGGAGCTAAGCAATCCGCGAAGCTCAACCAACGGGCGGCGGCGGCCTGCAGGAAGGCGAAGCGTCTGAAGAAGCTCAGCAGCGACATTGGGCGTCGTGCCTTACGAGTTTTTGCTGCGGGACCGATGGCTGGGGCCGTCCACGGCTCTGATATTTTTGGAATTTCGGACAGAGAGCTCCTTGCCCGCAGGAGGATGGCCATGCTGTCGATTAAACCTCGGGCGCAAGGGCGCTCGCTTTCGGTTCTGTGTCTTCTTTAGGGGGATTCCACTCGGACGGCCAGCTGCGCTCGTATTATCAGGTGGGCTAAGGAGATCTGGATCCTGCGAGCCCGTGCCTTCCCGTGGTCTTTGAACTGGGCTGAAATTCGTGAGGGGTGGTCCGTTGTTTTCGCTTCTGATGACCCTTCCTGTTTCAAGGTTTCCGGACCTGTTGCGGTGCTCAAGATGTCACTCTACAGGCTGGGCTGGAGTCTGCCCAACTCCTGTATTATTTTTGGGCGATTTTGGGCGTAAGATGTCCCTTGCTTTTTTTTTCTCCCCGAAGCTGGTCAAACATTTATAGTTTTTTTTTGTTATTCCCCCCCCCGGAGCCTTGAACGTGATTCGGAGGACAAGTTCAAGGTTTACAAGAGGCTGTGCTGGGATGCTCAGAGGAAGCTCCTGGCCTCGAGGCAGATCTCGGGGAAAAAATGGGATGATCCGCGCGATGGCCACGACGCCTGCTGGACAGCGGGCGACGCAGCCGACCTCGGCTACCCCATTTCAAGTCTGGGCAGTTTGTGTGGCGAGGCCAAGGATTGCCTTTTCCGCAGGCTGTACGACTGCCCGTGTGTCCAGTACGAGCGAGCTGATATTCGTCCCGACTGTGTGCAACGAGCGGCGAATGAAGGAGATTGGTCAGACCCCGAACATCGTGCCCTCTTTCTGGTTTACGCGCCGCTTCTGGTCACGGACGGAGAAGTTAGGCTGTCCTGGCATGTTGAAAACCTGCCTGATCCAGCTGACTCCTCTCTCCCTCACAGTGTTCCTCCAGGAAGTGGGTTCTGGGGGCACCTGTTTCTGGACGGCTCGTGCTCGGGGCACACCGTTCGCGTCGTGGGTTCCTCCAAGCGTGAGCGCCTCGGGACAAAGGACCTCTGTGGGCTCCTTGGCCTCAGACGCCTCAAGGAGCTGAGTTCGTGGCGTTCGCCTGGACCTGGGCCAATGCTGAAGGGCCTTCGCACTGTTACTCAGACTGTGCCAATGTTGTGCTGCTTCAAAGTTTGTGTGCTCTGCCGAGGCCTTGGGCCCGAAGAGACAATGTGTTGGCCTGGTGCTGCAGGCTAGGAACTTGTTTGGCAAGGATTGTGTGTCTTTCAACAAGGTAGCGGCACACAAAGATGTCGATGAAGAAGGAGTGAGTGCGGAGGAGAGGTTTCTTCGTATGGGCAATTTCTTCGCCGGCATCGCAGCAAAAGAGGCTGTGAATATCCATGCAGCAGGAGGATTTGAAGCGCACTTTGGCTCTATCCCGCCATGTCCTGCTGGCGGGAGCTCAGCTGTTGCCTCTTTGGCCGAAGGTTGAGTTTCGAGGGCTGGTGAGAGAGCGAGGTCCGCCTCCTCCAGCTCGTGACATGATTTTTTAAAACACGATTGGGAGCGAATTGGGTCCGTCTGGAGGTGCCGTGTGTGCCTGAAAGGGCTCCAGGAGTTCGTCCCAGCCGTCAGGGACTGAATGTTCGGGCCGCTGTAAGCTCGACCAGGGGCCTCTCATGAGGTTGGGCCATCCAGTGCTGGCGTTCCCATGCTCTGACAACTCCCACTTGTTCCTTTGCATGTCTTGCGAATTGTACAGCTCAGGTGGACAGGTGATTGGCCTAGGCTGTAAATGCGGCTCGCCCACGGAGACTGGCGTGAAGAACGTGCGCAATCTTCGCAAAGGCCGACGCCCTGATAAGAAGGGTCTCGCAGTTGTCATTGAGGAATTCATCTTTCTGCCGTGGCTGTTCAGTTCGAGCCTGCCCGTGCCCCAAGATTGAGTTTTGCTGTGGCTGGGCGGTTGCGATGAGTTCTTTGCTGTTGCAGTTTCGCCTCGTGACCATCGCAAAAGCCCTGAAAAAGGGGCCTGGGCGTTGCTGCCAAAAAAAAGACGCGAAGGAGAAGGAGGATGATGATGAAGAGGATGAGGAGGATGAGGAGAGTGAGAAGCAGGAGGATGAGGAGGAGGCGGAGGAGGAGGAGGTGGAGAAGGAGGAGTGCGAGGGCGAGGAGGTGGACGAGGAGGAGGAGGAGGACCCATGTAAACCAAGACTCATCAACGATGTTGTGATATACCCGTCCTCCACGCTCATTCTTCATAGGCCCCATACAGGAGATCATTTCCACTGAGGGAAATGCCCTGTTGGGAGACAACCGTTTGAAGATCCTGAAGCGTGCCAAAACACCATTTTCATGACTTCAACGCCACGAGTCAACCAGACTGTTGCGTCTTGTCGATCCTGAATCGCGCCAGAACGCCACTCTTGGGGCTTCAACTGCGAATCAACGTAACTGGGGCGCCTTGACAATCCTGAATCGTTCCAAATCACCATCTGTGGAACGCTGACCATGAAACCAGTAAAACTATTGCAAGTTTACAAACGAATGTGCGCGGTATTAAGGCGAGAGCCACATTTTGAAAAGGAACTGCCCTCAGTCTGTGAAGCTCCTGCAATTTTTTGGAACGAAAGTGCGCGGCGCTGAGGCGAATGTCACATTTTGAAAACGACCTGCCCTCAATCCGTGAAGCTCTTGCACATTTGAAGTCGAATGTGCGCGGCGCTAAGGCGAGTGCCACATTTTGAAAACGAGCCGCCCTCAGTCCGTGAAGCTATTACGATATTTTGAAACGAATGTGCGCGGCGCTCAGGCGAAAACCATCTTTTGAAAACCACTCGTCCTCAATCCATGAAGCTCTTGCACAATCTGCGCGGCGCTGAGGCGAGAGCCACATTTTGGAAGCGACCCGCCCTCATCTGTGAAATTGTTACCAGTTTTCAAGCCTTGAGGCTCACCAACGGTGGCGAAGTCTCAGGCGAAACGCCCGGCCCGCCTTTCCGACCGGCCTCGGGATGCGACAGGGAAGGGTTATCCATAAGGACAAGGAGGAGGAGGAGGAGGAGGAGGAGGAGGAGGAGGAGGAGGAGGAGGAGGAGGAGGAAGAGGAGGAAGGCGAAGAGAGCCCGACGCCACTTCTTCCGTGCAGTGCCGGGACCACCCGCAGGAGGCGCAGGGCCTCCCAACGGGGCGTCCCCAGTTGGCTCTCGGGCCCGAAACTTTCCGCGCGTTTCTGTCGGCGGCGAGAAATCCGAACCCTCGGAGGAGGAGAAGGTAAACATAGCGCTACTCTTGCCTCGTTTTTCCCCTCTTTGGGCCTCCTGGCAGACTCTCGTCGCCTCCGCTGCATTCGCTTCGACATTCTGGACAGAGCGCACCCCAAGAGAGGTGCGGGAAGTATCGGTCGGTAGTGGAACCTTTTGGTTTCCCCAAGCCCTGCCCTCGCCGGTCAAAGATTCAGGCAACTTGATGGGCGGCGGGGGTGGGGCCTTCGCCGATCGTTGAAGATGAAAACGCTGCATAAGCACAAACTTTCGACGGTCCGCGCGGATTTTTAGGATCGACGGTGGACCCCCTCTCCCTGGCGGCGCCTCCAGCGCCTTCCCTGGAGCGCTCCGCGCGCCATGGAGGGGGGTCCAGCGCCAATCCGAGAGATCCGCGCGGACCTCCGACAGGTTATTTGATGTTTGTTCACATTTTTTCTTCTCCTCTGGATCCACGGCTCAGGCAGTCCGATGGGCGCGGGGGATAGGGCTCGGAGTTCGCCGAACACAGCAATCCGAGCCCTAACCCCCTTCTCTCATGGATGCGAGGGGAAAAGCGGGAGCAAAAGGACCCCCCTGCCTTCCGCTTTTTCAGGGTGGCCACCTCCTTGCCCAGCGCCTGCAGCTCCCCCCGTTGCCTGCCTTGCTCCTGGCTTGGCGCCGGCGGGGTTGGCGGGTTGGCCAGGAAGTTCTTGCCCAGACGAGCTCGCATCATAGACAACTTACGACGGACAGATGTTGGCCCTTTTCGGCCCCTGGGCTCTCGCCAGGCCCCAGGATTGTAAAAAAAGAGAGTCAGGATGACAAATCGACCCTGGGGAAAGGGTCGGGGGGTGGGGTTCGGATGCAGGAGGAGGAGGAGGAGGAGGAAGAGGAGGAGGAGAAAGGAGGAGGAGGAGGAGTAGGAGGTGGAGGAGGAGGAGGAGGAGGATGTGGAGGAGGAGGGGGAGGAGGAGGAGGAGGAGGAGGAGGAGGAGGAGAGGAGGAGGGGGAGGAGGGGGAGGAGGAGGAGGAGGAGGGAGGAGGAGAGGAGGAGGAGGAGGGATCGCTGGTTCGTGGGGGTGGGGTTCGGATGTCGCCGCTCTTTCGGGCAGCTCCTGCCCGGGCGGACTTCGGAGCCCGGCCGCGGTGGACTCTCTCCTGGCGCGGGGAGGCGGGGGCGGGGGGGGGGCGACAGGGGGACGCCAACCGTCGACCTGCAACAAGGAACGAAACGGCCCCCTCCTCCTCCTCCTCCTTCTCCTCCTCCTCCTCCTCCTCCTCCTCCTCCAAATCTTCCTCCCTCCACTTTCGGCACGAAGTGCATCCAGTGTACTACTGCGGCGCCTGCCGCCGCGAGGATACCGTCGGGGTGGGGTTCGGATGCCCTCCGGCCGGACTCCGGAGCCTAGGCGCGAGGGCCCGGCCAGGGGCCGCCCCCCAGCACGCACCGCCAGGCTTGCCCCGGGGCTCCAGGGGAGGCGCCGAGGTCCGAGGAGACTTCGTGCGGAGACTTCGGTCCGAGGAGACTTCGCGCCGCATCGCCGATGCATCGGCGATGTGTCGGCGATGCGGCTCGATGTGGAGCCCGATTTTCCCCGCGCCGACGTCGCGGATGCGTCGCCGACGTCGCCGATGCATCGCCGACAGTTAGGCGATGCATTGGCGATGCGGCGCGATCCTTCGTCCTCGTCTACTCGGACCCCATCTAGGAGGCCCCTGATCATTCAGGCGATCGCAAACATGGATTACGGGGGCGTGGATTTGCGACGGGTCCCGTTTCCATGGGAAGTCGCGGATTCTCGGCGGGGACCCTCCAGACGGCTCATGCGGGCTCCAAGGTACCAGCAGAAAAACCTTTGGCCCCCCAAGCGCCCCCCTGTAGGCCTGTGTGATTTCTTAATGTATCCAGTGATTTTGGTATGCCCGCTCTTCCAGGTCCTAGGGCGCCCCAGGCGGCCCTAGATGCCCGCGAGAAAGTTTCAGAAGGCCTCTCTTCGGGGCCTTCATGGCCTTGACTTGGGGCCCCGCGTGCCTTTCCGAGAGCGCCAGCGAAGCCCTGTTTGTGTTCCAAAAAGAAGCCAAACGATGACCCCAAAGAGCCACAGCAGCAAGCCGCAGCCACAAGTTGTAACAGTACGCTGCTGGCAGCAAGCACTGGTGGTCAGCACACAGCAGAGAGAAACAATGCGCAGCTCACGGTAATCAGCAGCTGCGGAGAGCGAAGCTCGAGCCCCGCGTCGTCGTTTCAGCCTTTGGGCACCACGTCCGTCGCATTTCAGTTCGTGCAGAGCTCGTTGGCGTAAACCAGGTGGGGCCCTGCTGGTCTCGGGGGCCCTGGAGGAGGGGTAGGAGGAGGAGGAGGGGGAGGAGGAGGAGGAGGAGGAGGAGGAGGAGGAGGAGGAGGAGGAGGAGGAGAGGAGGGGAGGGATGAGGAGGAGGAGGAGGAGGAGGGAGGAGGAGGAGGAGGGAGGAGGAGGAGCCAACCTGTCCATGCCAACCCGTGCCCCCTGGCCGCCAGGATGATCAGCAGCTGGTTCTGGACGACCCCGCTCCGATGAGCGCCCGGAAGGCACCAGAGAACCCGAAGCCAGCCTCCGAATGCTCCAAGACGGCTCCCAGACACGCCAGGAGGCCTCCTACGACGGCCCAAGAGGACCCCGATACTGGCCCCACGAGGCCCAGATCGCGTGCCTTCCCTGAGGTTTTCAAGGATTTTCTGGTTCTCCCCACTCAGCATCAAGAACGATTCAGAACGGCTCCTACACCGCGCCAGCATTGCCCAAGAGACTTAGAGGAGAGGCTTTCGACAGCCCAAAAGGGCCCCCATATGTCCCCAGAGCGCCCGAAGACACCAAAAGAGCCCCAAGCTCCCGCCAAGAAGGCCCAAACAGAGTCCCCACAGAGACCTTCAGAGGTTCGAGGACGCCCCAGGACGGCACCAAGGCGATTCTACAATAATCGTCCCAGGCTGTCCCCAGAAGAGGCTCTGGGGGACAGCCCTGGAACAGCCCCATAGGCGCTTTTACACACTGCAAGAGGCTTTCAAACGCCCCAGACAGGCTTGTAGGAGGACCCAGCATGCCCCCGACTCGGCCCCAGAGGCACGATGATGATGATGCTGCTGATGATGCTGATGCTGATGCTGATGCTGATGCTGATGATGATGATGATGATGATGATGATGATGATGATGATGATGATGATGCTGATGATGATGATGATGATGCTGATGATGCTGATGCTGATGCTGATGATGATGATGATGATGATGCTGATGATGATGATGATGCTGCTGATGATGATGATGATGATGCTGATGATGATGATGCTGATGATGATGATGATGATGCTGATGATGATGATGATGCCCCAAATGTCCCTGCGGAGTGGCCCCTGCGGCCCCGAATGCCGGGGAGGCGATGCAGGAGACCACGGGCAGAGCGAGCGCCCCGGCAAGAACGCCAAGGCGGAGGCTCCCGGTGCCCGGTCATGGCCGAGGGCCGGGGCGCCCCGCTCACAGCCCCAGCGCGCGAGCCCTGGGGTCGAGTCGGTCGACCACACGTAGGAGTGACCCTTCGCCGGAGTGGCTTTTGGTGCGGGCTCATTGGGGGTTCCCCCGCGATCGCTGAGCGCCATGCGACAGTGGCTGTTTGCGTGCTTGGATTTGGCCACCTTGCGCCCACTTCGTCCGCGCACTAAAGGTCACTCTTGCCTAGGGTCACTCTTGCGTGTAGCCGAGTCGGACGTGTCGCTCTGCAGGAGGAATATTCCAAAGAGTAGTCCAGAAGTAGTCTGGGGACGATCTTTCGATGATTCTTTGTCTTTTTAATATATTTAAACATGTGTGTAGTTTTCTCCCAAAATTCGCCTGTAGGAGGACATGCCCGACCTAATCCTAGGTTCGGCACATCGTGGATTTGATCCGCGGGCTCGCACTAGTCAGCTACAACGCTGGGGTCAGCGCGTGTGAGAAGGGCAAGCAATGGCAGCTGGCCCTGTCGCTGTTGAGCGAGATGTGGGAGGTGAAAATCGAGCCTGACGTCAAGAGCTACAGCGCTGGGATCAGCGCGTGCGAGAAAGGCGAGCAGTGGCAGCAGGCTTTGGCGCTTTTGAGGGACATGTGGGAGTCGAACATAGACCCTGACGTTTTCTACTACGATTCTGGTCCTTGCGTGTGCGAAAAGTGCCAGAAGGTAGCGAGCTGCCCCCGAGCGCCTGGAGCGCTCCGCCGCTCTCCGACAGCTCCCGAGGGCCCCCAGGTGGCTCCAACACGGCCTCAGGCAGCCCGAATGTTGCTCCGAGACGCTCTGGAGGGCGCGGGGACGTCCCAAGAGAGCCCGAACGGAGCTCCATGACAGCACGGGACGACCCGCCGACGGGCCTCCGAGGTCAGCCCTTCCGGACCCCGACGACCGTCCCCAGAGGCTGAAATCATTGATTCTCTTGAAGTTTTCGCAGGTTTTCCGTGTTCTCGCCATTTGGGGCCCTTGACGGCAGCCGGTCCAGGAGGCCCCGCCCCGCCACCCGGGGCAGCCCCACGAGTGCCGTAGGAGCTGCCCAACAGGCACCAAAGCGAGCTCCAAGACGGCCTCAGACCCCCAACATGGCCCCAGAACGGTCCAAGAGGACCCCGATGACGGCCCTACGAGGCGAAAAAAAGAAGCCCAAACCATTCATTTCCAACGGTTTTGCACGTTCCTTCCGTGACGGGCCCAGAACGGCCCCACACGGCTCCAGGTCCCAGATGGCCCAAGAGGCCCTCACGAGCTCACGAAGACGGCCATCGAGGGCCCCATACGGCCCAGAACAGGCCCCGGAGAGCCTCACAGAGCTTCAGGCTGCCCCCCCGAGACGCCCCAGGAGCTGCCCAGGAAGGCCCAAACTTCCCAGACGGCCCCAGACCCCCGTCATGGCCCGAGGATGGTCCAAGGGGCCCCCAGTACGGCCCAAGAGGGCCCACGAGGACTCCGAAGACGGGCCCAGGAGACCAGAAATCAAGCAAAAACCGTTAGTTTTCCAATGTTTCCTACGCTCCCGCCATGACGGGCCCAGAACGGACCCACGCAGTTTCAGGCATTTCCGAGATCGCCCCACGATGGCCCAAGGGGCCCCGACGAGCGCAACAAGACGGCCCTCTGGTGACGTTCGCGGGCGCGGACGGCCCTTTTCGGAGAGACCCACGAGCTCCTTTTGGGCTTCCTCATCGTCTCCAGAGAGGCTGACGACGACCCATGACGGACGCTACACCGGACCCCTTTGCTGTAGCATCCTTCGTGCGGAGCCCCTGTTGTCTCCGTCTTGGGCCTCTTCGGGCCTCGGCTTCCTCCTCTGGGCGCCTGCACCCCCGCCCTCTCTGGTACTGCTCTCCTCCTCCTCCTCCTCCTCCTCCTCCTCCTCCTCCTCCTCCTCCTGCAAGAGAATGCAGCGAGACCTGGACTACGGGCTTCCCGCAGCCGTCGATGCCGCGAGGACCCTCCAGGGACCACTCCGAGATGACCCAGACCCTCCCGAGACACTCGCGGGCAGCCTCCAGCTCTGGGGCCCGGAGCCTGCGCAGCAAGCCCCGGAGCCTGTCGGTCCCGAGCGCGCACGTGTTGCCTGCGATCGGCGACACGTGTGCGTTCGGGACCGACGCCTGGACCTGCCAGCCGTGCAGGGCTCGTTTCGATTCCCCCGATTCGATTCGATTCGATTTCGATGGAGTCCGATTCCGATTCGATTCGACTTGGGATTCCGATTTGGGTCACGATTTCTCACTGGACGCATACAAGCTTGCAGATTTCCGCCGATTCGACTCTTTTCCGACTCGGCTGCCGATTTCCGCCGATCCGATTTATGCCGATCGCCGATGCGACTTACGTATCGATTCGATTCTTGGCTCTCCTGGCCGTGGATTTTCCATTTCACACTGGTCAATCGCACAAAACGTTAGATATGGCCGACGTCATCGTCATTCGTCCACACTCGATGAGTAACGCGACCAGAATATCTGCTTCCTTTTGTGTCGCAGGCACGTCCTACAAGCATTGCCCCCCTCAACGTCGATAGCGGTGATCACACCCACAGGTACACGCTAGTCAGCTACAGCGCCGGGATCAGCGCGTGCGAGAAGGGTGGGCAGTGGCAACGGGCATCTGCGCTGCTCAGCGATATGTGGGATGTCAAGGTCGAACCTAATGTCATCTGAATCACAATTCTTCACGTTTTGCGTACGCCCACCAGCGGTCGCACGTTCAGGTCATCCCACCTGTCCCAACATGCACCTCCACCTGAGTGGTCTGACGCCATAGCGCGTAACACAGAATTCCCTGTCATTTTGCGCAGGGCTGCACGTTGCCCGAGCTTCCCTGGGCGTTCCAGTTCAGCCAGCCAGCCCCCCGCTGCTGCTGCCCCTGCTGCTGCTTTTGTGAGCTGGCCCGGCCGGCTGATGCTGCGCCCTGCAGCTAATTAGGTTTGCCCGTCGGCCCGGACTCCCTGTTCGCCGCCTGCGCTCTCGCTGGTGGCCGCAACCAAGAAAAAGTATGCCCACCAGCTCGCGGTTTCTCCCCCCCCTCGACGGGGCCCACGGCCGTCTGTGGCTCAGCCTTGACTTTCCGTGCTCCTGCCACGCCGCGGTTGCAACCCTGGTTTCAGTTTCGGGTCTGCCCCGTGGTGTCAGTGCTCGCCTGGCGCCACTTCCGGTGTGCTGACTGCGGGCTCGTTATCCGTCCCTCTTCAGGGCTCTTGGTGTGCGCCTTTGCTGGCGCCACTTCGTGCGCTTGTTCGTGGTGACCCGCGCCATTTTGGCCGCGCGGCAGCTTGGCTGCTTCTCGTACTCGTGCGCTCTGCTGCCGTCGGGCTTTGCGGCTTCGGCCACCCTGGTTCCTCGCAGCCTGCCAACGCTCACACCCACACCGGGCACCAATTCGACTTCCGACTGTCGGTCCTCTTGGCTGCGGCCACCCTGGTACTCTCGCAGTTGTCCGTGGTCTTGCGCCCTTGCTTTAATTACTCGGCTTCTGCCCCTGGTCGCCGTTCTTCCTGGCTACCTGACGCTTCCGTCGCCTGGCATATTTGCATGCTGGCAGTACGACTCAGTTTCAGCCAGCCCCCTCCACTCGCCGGTCCGGTCCGCCGCGGAGGTGCTGCGTGAGGCTCCGCCTAGCCGCTTTCGGTGAGGCTGCGCCCCGTTGCTTTAGGTGAATTTGTCGCTGCGTGCCCCGCGTTGACTGGACTCGCCGCTGGCGCGCTCGCCTGCGGCCGCTGAGTAAAAAGTATGCCCACCAGCTTCGTGGCGCTGTTGCTTCGCTTCTTGACGGCGCGCAGTTGCTCTGTATCGTTCGCGAACGAAACCATGCACACCAGCCCATCCAGAAACCCGACCCATCAGAGCTGACCCGAAAAGGGACGAATCCAGTGAAACAGAGCGGGCAACCAGGGTGAACAGAGAGATCTCTGGAGGAAGGGGGTGGCCTTGGATGGCCTCTTCGGGCCATTCCTCGGGACCGCGTGGGGGCGAGGGACGGAAGAGGAGGAGGAGGAGGAGGAGGAGGAGGAGGAGGAGGAGGAGAGAGGAGGTTAGGAGAGGAGGAGGAGAGGAAGGGGAGGAGGAGAGGAGGAGGATTAGGAGGGGAGGAGAGGAGAATGAGGAGGAGGAGAGAAGAGAGGATAAGGATAGAGGAGGAGGTAGGAGGATGAGGAGGAGTAGAGGAAGGAAGGGAAGGATGAGGAGCAGAGAGAGGAGGAGGAGAGGAGGATGAGAGGGAGGAGGAGAGGATGAGGAGGAGGAGGATATGTGGAGGGAGGAGGAGGAAGGGAATAGGAGGAGAGGAGGAGGGAGGGAGGGTGGGGGACAGGGGAGAGGAAGAGGAGGATAGGATAATGAGGAGGAGGAAAGGGAGAAGGAAGGTAAGAGGGAAGGAAAGGGAGGATGGGAGGGAGGATGAGGAGGAGAGAGGAGGAGGGAGGAGGAGGAGGAGAAGAGAGAGGAGAGGAGAGAGGAGGAGGAAGAAGGATAGGAAGGAGGAAGAGGAAAGGAGGAGGAGTAAGGAGGAGGGAGAGCGGAGGTATGGGAGGGGAGGGGAAGGGAGGAGAGAGAAGTGGAGTATAGGAAGGAAGGAAAGGAGGAGGAGAGAGAGGAGGTGAGGAGGAAGATGTGTATGAGAGTGAGTTAGAGTGAGAAGGAGTCAAGAGGGAGAAAGAGAGATGGAGAGAGAGGAGGAGGGAGGAGAAGAAGGAGAAAGAGGTGAGTGGTAGAAGAGAGAGATCGGATGTGTGTATATTATGGAGAGGAAAAGAGAATTATAGAAGATTTATAAGAGATGGGAGGGAAGGAGGGGAGGAGGAGAGAGGGGAGGGAGGAGGAGGAGGAGGAGGATAATAAGTAGGAGAAGAGAGAGAGAAGAGGAGGAGGAGGAGGAGGAAGAAGAGGAGGAGGCGGAGCAAGAGGAGGAGGAGGAGCAGGAGGAGGAGGTCCTCCACTCCGCCTGTTCGGGGCGACGGGGGGTGGCCTGCAGACACTTCGGGCCCCCCTGCCCCCCGCCCTTTATCCTCCTTACTTTCTCCCCCCATTCTGGGTCCTCCACTCCGCCTGTTTGGGGCGACGGGGGGGGGCTGCAGACGCTTCGGCCGCCACGCCTGCCTCCCCCTCAACCCCCCCGCCCTTTTCTTTCTTCTCCCGGCACCAGCCGCCCTCGGTCCTCCACTCCGCAAGGTCGGGGTGGCGGGGTGGACTTGCAGACACGTCGGGCCCCCCATACGAGCATCATATGCATTCTGGTACCTCTCGAGCACTTCCTCTACTCCCAACCTAATCTTCCACACGCGACCCCCCTCCTCCACCCCCTGTCCCTGGATCTTTCTGTGGCAACGTTCGGCCAAGCCCTTCCCTCGTGACGCTCACCATGGCCAACAGGAGCGAGCTTTTCCTTGGCCGTTGTTTTCGCCTTGCCTGCTGCTGATCTTTCTACGGGGTTCACTCCATTCATCTTGCCCACATTGCAGGCATACGTACGTGCGTGCGAGAAGATCCTGGGAATTGTGAGAAGAGAAGCTCAGCGCAGCTAAGCTTAGCGAGCCGAGAAAGCCTTGCTAAGCCTTGCTAAGCCTTGCTGAGCCTCGCTCAGCCTGGGCACGCTTTGCTAAGCCCTGCAAATCCTTGCAACGCCTTAAGCCTTGCTGAGCTTTGTTGAGCCCTGCCAAGATCTGGTAGGCTTTACTAAGAGTTGAAAGGCTCAGCGAAGGCCTGGTAAACCTGGCTAAGCCCAATTGAACCTGCTAAGCGCTGCTCAGCCCTGACAAGCTCAGTTGGGCCCTGGTAGATCCCGTTGTGCCCTGCTGCGCCCTGGTGCGCTCTGGTAAGCTTTGCTATGCCCTGGTGAGCTCTGCTGAGCCGTGTACCAAACCTTGCAGACCTGAGCTAGGTAAACCTTGCTAATCCGCGCTGGGTCTTGTTCAGCCGTGGCAAGGTTCGCGAAGCCCTGCTGAGCTTTGCTGAGCCCTGCGAAGTCCTGGTCAGCCATGTTACGCTTTGCTACCGCATCGTGCGCTTTGGTAAGCCCTGGTAAGACCTTGGTACCATTTGGTAAACCTGGGTGAGCCTTGCTGAGCCTTGGTAAGCAATGGTAAGCTCTGCGTCATAACATGGAACCAGTGGCAAGGAATCTTTAGGGAGGACGAGGAGAGGAAGGGGGAGGAGGTCCGGCTAATTCTTTCGAAGCGCAGCGCCCTGCTGAGTTTTGCTGAGCCTTGATTAACCCTGCTAAACATTGCAAAGCCCTGCTAATCCTTGGGACGCTTTCACGCCTGCCCTGCTGAACTTTGCTGAGCCCAGCAAAGTCCAGCACCGTTGGTAAGCCTTGCTAAGGCCTAAGTATGCCCTTGTGAGCCTGCTAAACACTGCGAAGCCCTGACAAGCTCTGCTATGCCTTGCTAAGTCGTGGTACGCCCTGCTGAGCACTTCAGCGCTCTGGTAAGCTTTGCTAAGTCCGGGTGGGCTCGGCTAAACCTTGTTAAGCTTGGTAAGCCTTGCTGAGCTCAGGCTAGCTTGGCAAGCCTTGCCCAGGTAGCCTTGGTAAGCCTTGCTAAGCCCCTCAAAGCGTGGGTAACCCCTGGTAAGTGGTACTCTGCCTAGCTAAGCCCTGGTAAGAGCATTGCTACTCCCTTGCGATCTCAGCTAAGCCTGCTCAGCCTTGGTAGAATTTGCGAAGCCATGGTAAGCTTTGCTCAGTCCTGGTGAGCCTTGTTAAGCCTTTGTAAGCAATGGTAAGATATGTACCATAACACTGAATCCGTGGTACGGGAATATTTGGTAGGGAGGGGTGGGGTGGGGGGAAGGGTGTGGAAGCCCTGCTGATCCTTGCGACGCGTCATGCCCTGCTGAGCTTTGCTGAGCCTTGGCCCCCCCCCCCCTGTCGCATTCCCCTCCCCCCATAAGTGCCAAATGGGGGGGGGGGGCGGGGGGACCTGTGGGGGATCTGGGGGAGATGGATGGGGAGCACGTGTGTTCGTTCATATATGGGTCCTGGTCAGAAGATGGGGGGGTCCAAGACCCCCGCGACACGAAACATCCCAAACCGTTTCGAAGCGTGTAATGGCCCGCCCCCCCAAATCGTATGTCAGAAGTGGAGGGGGGATACGCCAGTTTTCTTTTGTTAGTTAGTTAGCTGGCTTGTTTCTTTCATGCGACGTTCGGGCGCTTGCGGCGTCCACGACGGCCCAGCAGCCCTCAAGATCGCCCCACACCAGCCCAAGAGGCCTCCCAAGAAAACCCTAAGGCGGCTCCAGAGGGCCCCAAGACAGCCCGAGACGGCCCACGAGAGCCCCCAAAAAGCCAAAGAGGCGCCCCAAACGACCCAAGATGGCCCAGAAACGGCCCACTAGAGCCCCAGATGCATCCCAAGACGGCCCCAAGAGCGCTCCCAGAGAGCCCGAAGAGGCCCTCAGCGGATGTTACAACGCACCCCGCTGTTGTAGCATCCGTCGGGTGCTTCTTTGAGGGCCCTCGTGGGGCCGTCTTCGGGCCACCAGGCTCCTCGGCTACATCATCTACGACATCCGTCAGCCAATCGACTGTCGCCGCCTGTTGGTCCCGCCGCGTTCCCCTGCCAGGGCACCTGCGGAGTTGTTCCACAGGTAAACACTACAGTGGAAACCCATACCAAGAAGCACCCCGCGTGCCTCCAGGGTGCCCTGGGTTTCTTGGGTTTCGATAGTTTCGCTATGGAAAGCGTGAAGTTCCCACACTAAACATCAATGGACGTCCTGGGGTCTCAGGGTTAGGGTTGGGTTTCTTGTGGCGGAGCTCCTACTGCAGTCAGCTACAATGCTGGGATCAGCGCGTGCGAGAAGGACAAGCAGTGGCAGCCAGCCCTGAAGCTGTTCCGCGAGATGCGGGAGGCTATCTTGGAGCACAGTGCCATCTGTGTACTACAGCGCAGGTCCAGTGTGTGTGTGTGTGTGTGTGTGCGAGAAAGGCCGGCCCCGATTCGGCGCAGCAGCGCTCCCCAGCCAGGCCCGAGACGCTCCTAATTCGCGCCCAGATCGTCCCAACATGGCCCCGACATCCCTCAAGCGATTCCAGACGGCCTCTGGAAGGTCTTCATGAGCGTGTTGACTCGTCTCCTGCAGGATTACCCTCGTCGCATGACTCCGGCTTTGCCTGGGACATCCTTCGGACAGCGCTGTTCTCGGATTCTTGCTGCTGTTTCTGTGGGGGAGGGGGGAACAAAAAACAAAAGGGTGCAGCGCGCGAGAAGTTGGCGAGCAGTATCTTCGGCCTCGAGGGGACAAATCGACCCAGCTGGCCCAGCGACGGGTACCCGAGGGCGCCTACACACCCTGATTCGGCAGCAACTCATGGGAACCTTGTATGTTCTCACAATTCTGTTTCCAGAGTGCGTAAGCGTGCGCCAGCGTCAGGTAATCGATGAGAAAGTGCCGATCTAGCGTTGATTAGCGTCGATGTACCGTCGATCAGCATCGATAAGTGTCGATTCGAGTTGGTTAGCGTCGGTTAGCGTCGATTCGCCAGAGCCAGCAAGATGACATGAGAGGTTCCCAGGATCTGCCACAGAACCCTGAACAGACACCTGGAAGGGCCTCGAGAGGGTCCAAGCTCTCTCACTGGGGGCCCCATGCGCTCGAGGGACACCAAGATGACCTCCGTGCAACCGCATAGACCCGAAGATGATCCGCGGTGACCACGCGAAGCAACACATAATGGAAACCAGGTATCCGTGTGCCCGTTTGCAGTGTCTGCGCACCAGCGTTCTTGCATTCTCGTGCTGATCATTCTTCATGGCTTTCTGCCGAGCCGATGCGCCGTCGCGCGGTCTCTTGCGTGCGGTCGTGCGTGCGTGCGTGCGTGCGTGCATGTGTTGGTGTCCTTGCTTGTTTTAGCGTCTCTTGCGTCCGCCATCTTCCCTCACACGAATGTCTCAAAACGGGCTCCACAGGATTCCGACATCGCCCAAGAGGTCCCCGAGAGGCTCCAGGAGGATCCACGCCTGTTCTGCCTGGCCTCCAAGCTGGCCCCGAGGTGGCTCCATGATGGCTCAAGGTCGCCCCAAGATGATCCCAGGAGTTCCTCAGGCTGTGCCCACGCCACTCCAAGTTGACCCCCAGAAGCCCGAAGGAACGCGCAGGTAGCCTCAAAAGGGGCCACGAGGGCCCCAACAGTGCCCAGTGAGGGCCTCACCTAGGGCCCAAGCGGGACCCCAGCTCCCCTCGAGAGCGCTCCAGGAGCCCGATCTGTGCAGAGTCCTCGCAGTCTGTGCAGAGCCCCCCGAGTCTATGGGACCGCGATCAGTGCAGAGTCCCCGAGTCTTTGAGACCAACTGCTGTCACAAGCTACGCTACGTAAGCCAGCTCGGCTGGAAACCCGTGTGGATTGTAGATGCTCAGGTTCACACTCTTCTATCTATCCTACCTACATTGCCGGGAGCATCGCGTGCGATCTGCCAATCGTGGCAAAGCAGGGGGGGGGGCCGCCGGAATCCCCGCGCCTCCCAGACGGCCCAAGCGAGTCCAAGAGGCCTCCAAGTTCGCCCAACATGCCTCCAATACGGCCGAGGATGGCCTCAAGATGGCGACCAGACGGCCTCAGAGTGCCCCGAGATGGCCCAAGATGGCCTCCAAACGGCCGAAGAGTCTTCCAAAAGGCCCCACGAGCGTTCCAAGAGCACTTCCAGCAGGGCCTCTCGGTGCAAATATCGAAGGGCTCCTGCAGGGTTTTACACCATTTGCCCTTGCAGCGCGTCCACGACGACCCAACAGCCCCAAGATCGCCCCAAGCCGGCCCAAGTGGCCTCCCAAGAGAACCCCAAGGCGCCTCGAGAGGGCCCCAAGACGGCCCGACACGGCCCAAGAGAGCCCCAAGACGGCCCAAGAGGCGCCCAAGACGACCCGAGATGGCCCAGAAATGGCCTACTGGAGCCCGAGGTACATCCCAAGATTTGGCCCAATAGCGCTCCCACACAGCCCGAAGAGGTCCCCCCACGCATGCTACAACGCACCCCCCCTGTTGCAGCATCCGTCGGGTGCCTTCTGAGGGCCCTCTTGGGCCCGTCTTCGGGCCCTCTCGAGCCCCTCCGCGCGGAATTTTTGAGGTCCTCAGGGCGCTCCCAGAGCCTCCTGCAAGGCTGCAGGACGGCCCAGGAGAGCGGCAACAGGCTGTCGCCGCTTGTCGGCCCCACCGCGCTCCCCTGCCAGAGCACCTGCAGATTTGTTCCACGGGTACACGCTGGTCAGCTACAGCGCTGGGATCAGCGCGTGCGAGAAAGGCGGGCAGTGGCAGCGAGCCTTGTCATTGTTCGGTGAAATGTGGGAGGCGAAACTGGAGCCCAGCGTCATCAACTCTACAGCTCTGTGCATGCGACAATGACCAGTGGCCCTTTCGGCCCCCAGACGCCCCAGGCGCCCCCCAGGCGCCCCAGACGCCCCAGGACCCCAGAGGGCTCCTGGGCGCACCCAAGACGTCATAACGGCTCAGTGAATCCTTCAGAGAGCCTCACGCGGCTCACGATCGCCTGAATGGTTCGTTCGCGACGGCTCCATGGGTCTCCAAGATGGTTCAAGACGCGCCTCGAGATGGTGCCAAGGGCAGGCGAAGATCTTTAATTTCTCTTGGTTTTGGTGGATTTTGACGGCTCCCTACCTTTCGGCTCCAGATGTCTCCGCGACGGCCCAGGAGGCTTCAAAGCGAGCCTCGCAGACCCACAAGAGCCTCCGAGAAGGCCCTCCCAAGACGCTCCCAAGATAGCCCACGATGGCCCAGGCTTGCCTCCAAGATTGCTCCAAGACTGTTTCACGATGAATCTGAGGCGGCCCAAGACAGCCCCAAGATTCGAGTAGGGGATCGACTACATAATCGATTACTCCCAAATTGTTGTTCTCGCCGAGTGTTCGAGAAATCAGTGGATTGCTCGTAGATCTACGCAACGATCTTTGTTTTTGTTTCGTAGGTTCGCCTGGAAAAACATTTTTTTCGGTAGAAGCAATCCTGTGGTCGATCCCCTACTCGAAAGATCCTTCCAGCCGCCCCCCATGCCTCCCTGGAGGGCCCCGCGAGGCCCCGAGGAACCCCAGGACGGCCCGGAGAGGCCCCGCGAGAGCTCGAGGAGAGCCAGTGTTGCCGCAAGCATCTGCAAGGGGCTTAAGCATGGTGATCGTCTTCTTATTCGTTGTTTTGCCGATCGGCGCGGGCCCTCGCACCCCCCCTCCCCCTCCCCCGCAGGGAGTAGATCTTGGCTGCTTTGGGCGCCTTTTTCAAGCAGGTGGACGGCTCCCCATATGATTCCCCATTAGAGCACTGTTCCTAACAGAGTCGCTAAGCAGAGGTCCAGAGCCAAACCCCCCGTCCCCTCCCCTTCCGCTCAATGTCGAAACGCCGAATAAGAAAACGCTCACCATTAGCGACGCAGAAACGGGTTCGGACATTCGCGCGTAAGATGCCCGCGTAAGTTCGCGCGTGAGCGCCCTCGTTTCCAATGTAGCGTGCCGCGACAGCGGCCCGCGTAAGCCACCGCGTACGGTCGCCATTGCATCTTGCGGAAGACCCGTCGTCGCTCACATGACTCTTGCACGGCCCGATGGTGGGTCCCAATCTATTTCCGCCCGTGCCCCCTCAAGGGCTGCCCGAGTGCTCAGCAGCGCGCGGCTGCGCGCAGCAGCGACCGCCTCCGAGCGATAGCAAGCACCAGCAACACGTAGCATCATTGAGCAGACGAAGCATGCGGCAGCGACCTGTCAGGCTACCAGCCCAGCATCCCCGCAACCAGGACTGCAGGCAAGCAGTCAAGCAGACAAGCGATCTTCACCCATGCATGCGGCGAGTAAGCTTTCGGGACCAATGGGAGGATTCCGATCAGATGATGCCTCTTGCCGTGGATGTAATCCACCGGTCCACCCTAGTCCACTACAACGCTGTGGTCAGCGCGTGCGAGAAGGGCAAGCATTGGCAGGGGGCCTTTTCGCTGCTCTGCGAGATGTGGGAGGCGAACTTGGAACCCGACGTCATAAGCTACAGTGCTGGGATCAGCGCGTGCGAGAAGGGTGGGCAGTGGCAGCGGGCCCTGTCGTTGCTCAGCGAGATGTGGGCGGAGGAAGTGGAGCCCGACGCCATCACCTACACCGCTGGGATCAGCGCTTGCCACAGGGGCGAGCAGTGGCAGGCGGCTCTGTCACTGCTCAGCGCAATGTGGGAGGCAAAAATGGAGGCAGAGGTCATCAGCTACAACGCTGGCATCAGCGCGTGCGTCGGGCAGTGGCAGCTGGCCCTGTTGCTGCTCAGCGAGATGTGGGAGGTGATGCTGGAGCCCGACGTCATCGCTTCCACGGGCGGAAGCAGTGCGGGTGGGAACGGGCCGACGGGGCCAGACCACCGCCAGACACTCCCAGGACCCCTGGATCGCTCTGGGCCCCGAGCTGCCGAGGCCCCCAGGCTGGAAGGCCCGCCGCCCAGGGGGCGTCGTAGGACGCGCATGGACGTACCTTGGAGGAGGAGGAGGAGGAGGAGGAGGAGGAGGAGGAGGAGGAGGAGGAGGAGCAGGAGGAGGAGCAGGAGGGGGAAGAAAAATAGCAATACTACTACTACTACTACTGCTACTGCTACTGCTACTGCTACTGCTACTACTACTACTACTACTACTTCTACTTCTACTTCTACTTCTACTTCTACTTCTACTTCTACTTCTACTTCTACTTCTACTACTACTACTACTACTACTACTACTACTACTACTACTACTACTACTACTACTACTACTACTACTACTACTACTACTACTACTACTACTACTACTACTACTACTACTACTACTACTACTACTACTACTACTACTACTACTCTTACTACTACTACTACTCTTACTACTACTACTACTACGACTACTACTACTACTACTACTACTACTACTAACAG